AAGGTATGAACTTTGGTTCCCTTTAACCTTAAATGCTTTGGTCTTGTCTTTCTCTGTTACATAACGAGTTTGGTCTTGAAAGTTTGCATTTTTAGATCTATGTTTCTCCTTCTGATATGTCTGATGGAAGTATTTGTGTAATTTGTTTGTCTCATGAACCCGTAAGATTGGTTTGGGAATATAGGTCTTAGAATTCGATAGGTGTTATTTGTCTATCTCTGTAGTATATTTCAATCATGAATTCAAAACCTTTAATGATGAGATTGAACGTTTTATTGATAAAAACTTTGTTTGCTGCTTCTCTTTAGGTAAGAGGGAGCCTGAAGATGATGTTGATACTAAAGTGAGTCTTAAGAAGCAGAAGGAAGACGTGATTGCTGCTGTACAAAAGTAAAAAGCTGTGAAGAAGGTGACTAAGAAGGTTGAGAGCTCTGATTCATCAGATTCTGAATCTGAGGAAGATGAGAAGGTATAACTTTTACTGTCTTAATTTATTTTTGTTGGTTTGAGCATGTGAATTGAGTTATTTCTAATCAGCTTTAATACATCTGACAGGCTAAGAAAGTTCCAGCCAAGAAGGCTGCAACCAAGAAGCATGCTGCGGCTGCTGCTAAAAAGGCCAAGGTCTGAGAGTTCGTCTGAAGATGATTCATCCTCTGATGAGGACTCAGATGATGATTCTGAGGATGAGGTGATAAATTTTTCTGTTTGTTGATCACTTATTTCACTTATGAATTGTGTTTTACTAGTACTAAAACTAGTTGTATTTGTTTAATTTAAATAGAAGGTTGCTGCTACCAAGGCTGCAAGCAGTTCAGATTCATCTGATGAAGATTCTGATGAGGTTAGCTTAACATATTTGATTTGATAGTCTTAAAATTCTTTTCAAACAACTTTGTATTTTCTTTATATCAGTCATTGACATCATCCATGTGTCTGTTGATATTTGCAGGAAAGTGAAGATACTACTGAATGTCTTCATGGTGCAATTGTTGTGGAGAAGATGCGTAGGTGAAAGGTACACTCCTAAATTGCTTTAATTGTTAATTTCTGTGTGTGTAAAATTGAATTGAATTGAGATTAGGAACAATGAAATTAAATAGAAACTGACCACTTTAATTTAATGGAGATTAGATAGATGTGGTTGAGAATGTAGTTGTCTTTAAATGAATCAATGAATACATAAAAAGTAGATAGTGAATTTATTGTCATCTCTTTAACAATAGTTTTTCTGAAGTTTAATGTATTTGTGGCGTTGGTGATGAGATGGAGTGAATTTAAACAGAAAAAAAAATTAAATGCAACTGAACTTAAACTTAAAGTTCAATAAAATGGTGATGAGACATTAGCCATCTAAATTAAAGTTATGTTGATGGCTAGTGTCTCAGTGACTTGAATTAGTATTGTGTTTGTTATTTATTGAGGCTTTTCCTTTATAATGTCGACAATGAGAACTAAACAAACCACTTAAACTCTTCTAAAACACAAAATGGCTTCCAACTTAAACTATTCCTCCTCTCAATCCTTCACCAATCTCTTGTTTAGCCAAGAAGATAACCCAACGCCTCTCAGTCCTTCACAGCCTCCTTTTTTTGAATCCCAAACACCCACATCCTTAGCTAGGGCGTCTAGAGTGAGATGGAGTGTTCCTGAAGAGAAGGCACTTGCAAGTGCCTGGCTCAACACATCCAAAGACTCTGTTGTGGGGAATGAGCAGAGATCAGCTGCCTTTTGGGATAGGGTTGCAGCATATTATGCTGCATGTCCTACTGTCTCTAAGCTCACCATCCGAGAGCCAAATACTTGTAAGCAGAAATGGCAAAAAATGAATGAGCTTGTGATGAAGTTTGCAGGCTGTTATGAGTTTGCCTCTCGGACTCCTCGCAGTGGAGAGAATGAAGATGACATTATCGTGCT